GTAATCCATCTGACAGGCATGAAGTGATATTTCATTGTGAGGAATAGAGATTTTGAGCATTTTTCATGTATCTGTTGGCTGTTCATCTCCTTTTTTGAGAAATGTTCAGATCCTTTGCCATTTTTAAATTGGTTTATTTGTTTTCTTGCTCTTGAGTTTTTTGAGTTCTTTATATATTTTAAATATCAACTCCTTATCTATGTATGATTTTCTAAGCATCCTTTTGGAGTAGCCTTCTACTTGCTTTTGGCTTCTACTCTGTAAAATTTTGGGTAAGGATAGTGGCATTCAAAAAATCATTTTGTAGTTCCTAAGAGTTTTTAAGATAACATCTAAAATTTTTCATTCAACAGTAAATGATTGCAAACGATGTAATTTCTGGCATTTTATAGATAATGCAAGTTTTGAATAAATACATCACTCTAGTGGAATCTAGATAATATAAGGATAATCTGTTTTTAAACATGTTATTATTAAGGAAAATAGGGCAAAGAGTACACAGGATCTCTTTATTATTTCCTCCAATTGAGTGAGTCTTCAGTTAACTCAAATAAAAATTGATTCTGATCTTGATTAAAAAGTTGACTTGAGTTCTTCAACAGAAATTTTATATCTCATTTTTTTCATTTCTAGATGATTTTCATTTTGAAGTAATATATTTCTGCATAGTCTTGTGACATTGTCATAATTATTTACAAAAATATGTATGTAAATTGAATTTTCAAAGATTAATTTTCTGTGATCTAAAAGTTTTAAGCATTTAATTTTTATTTGATTTTATAATTCTATAATTACTATTTCTGAATAGTTGATATGTATTATTAAATGTATGTAAGTTTTGTTTATAAGTTTGTTGTTATGTCATCAAATATAAGTAAAAGATGACTATTAATAAGATGGATGGGACTTTGAAAAAGTTTATTGTAAACAGACCTTGTTTTTGGCCCCCCAGGTGCTGGGGATCAAACTTAGGGCCTCATACATTCTAGGCATTCGCTGAACCACTGAAGTACACCCAAACCTGAATAATTTTTTTATTGGAACGATCAGAATTCAGTATCAAGTCTGTTTTTTGTTTTATTTCATCTCTTCCTTCATCAACTCAGTTATAGAAGGCCTTCTTACACTAGATTTTACCAAAAGTGTCACTTGATTTAGTMCCCTGGAGCATTTTCTATCTTGGGACACTACATAATAATGAGGTGTATAYCTTACTTTTGTAAACCAAGAAGAGAGTGTTGGAGTAGTAAGAATGAGGAAAAGGAGAGTGGTGATGAAATATTTACTACAGGAACTGTTTAAGKTAGATCTGCTTAGGGAAAAAAATTCAYTCATTGAGAAGTTGAGGAGTTAGAAACTGCTTCACTTAAATCCATACCTGCATTTTCCTTTAAAAGTCTTTACCCTAGAGCCCTTACTTTGAGGAATTAATGAATTAATTTTTTGAAGATATTGAGTATATTTTTGTGGATATTTTCTTTAGGTTTCCATGCATCAGTAAATGCTCATCCAATATCTATTTACTTAAATATTGTTTTGTATCTAATTTCAATTTGGTTGATTAAAAAAATTGAATTGAAATATTTGTTGAATATATCTATTAAATAGTGGTATTTCTGAACTATTCCCATAAATGTGCTTTTTAATTTTATGTAATAGTAGTTAAATGAACTGTATGTGACTTGCCTTGAGAAACAGTCTATGATAGGAAAATAAGTCTATGTAGAAAATGGCACAGATAACATCTTTAGGAATGGACAGAGATCTGGACCTTCTATGATGGGGTGGAAAATAGCCACACCCAATATCCACACCTCTTGCTCATGTCTATTCTTATATTTCAAAAGAATTTCAAAGAAAACCAGTGATTTTTTTCCTTAAGGTATATAAATGTATTTTTGTCAATTTTAAATACTTTGGAGTAATATAAAGAAAGACATTTTGTCTGTGCTAGGAAAAAAATGGGGTATACCTAAGGCAAGTGGTATTACCAACATAACTCACACTCATCCTAGAGAACATATACTGTTTAGACTCATATTCAACAGAGAAGAATCAAAATAACTTAGTAGGAATCATAAGAGAGAAATAGTGAGAAGAGTAGAAGGGCATTGACATTTTCATTGTKGCTCTACAAGGCTTCATAATGCTTGGATTAATTTGCATATATTATTTAAAATAAGTATGGCTATAGAGGAGACTACTGCCTTGAAAGATGGTTTTGAGCTCCAACAAGGAAATGTAGTGGGAGAAAGAACTCAGTTTGTACAATGTGTGTGATTTTGTTGGGGGCAAGAAAGGATGTGTGGAAAGCTTTTGCTCCAGATATTTCTCCATTTGGGCCACTAGGTGGTGACATTGTATAAAGACAGCTTGGTTGCTGGCAAATAAAATAGTCAAAAATTTGGTTTGGAAATGAAAACATATGTTTAACAATTAAGGCTAAGAGTATCCTCTAATTTTTTTATATTAAACACTCAATTTTGTAGCACGTTTGTGGTGATTTTATTAAACTTCTCTTTTTTATATTTAATTTACATATGCACCCTACCCTGAGGTATTTTATACTGCCTGTCATAATCAGTGATAATAAACTACATACTGTAAACAGGCATTTAAATAGACAAGTGCCCCTGTCCTCCAAAATATTCAAATACAAAGACAAAATAATTGATACAGATGATGTATCTAAGAAATATATTGAAAATATGTGAAGCAAAATAAAATTTTAGTCTGTACTGTGTTTACTCCTTTAGTACTCATAGCATAGATTACATGAACTGAAAGTTAGGATCAGAAGGAGGGACCACTCAGAAGATCCTCGCATCTCTGAATAGTCCTTGCATGTTACTGTATGGGTAGCCCACATCCTTAGGATCCTCCTGCTTTCCTTTGTGTGTCACCATCAATTCCCCATATTTTCAGATTAAACATTTGGTGGGTAGTATATATTTGTAATGACTTAAAATAACACTGTCCCTTCTCTCATGCTTGAGGTTGATGTCTTTTGAATTAGAGGGGTCTCTGATATTGGATTAGGACCAGTTTCCAGAGGAAGGTCCCTATTATTCCCAAGTTGGAACTCTAAATKTGCTTTTTTATATAAATAGTGTTTTTTAATTTTTTTTTTTAGTTTTAGATGGACACAATATCTTTATTTTGCTTATTATTTTTATGTGGTGCTGAGGATCGAACTCAGGGCCTCACATATGCTAGGCAAGTGCTCTACCGCTGAGCCACAACCTCAGCCCCATAAATAGTGTTTTTGTTGATAATCTAGCTGATTTGGTATTATATGAAGCTCTGATTTTAAAAATCAGACTTCCTTTCTGGAGTGTTGAGTTCAGTCTTCCATATTTTCTTTACAGAATAAATGATCTAGAAGTGCATTTTCACTTCTTCAAAATAGGACATTTTCAAATTGAGTATGGCTTCCTCCTTTTTCTCATTTTCTTCAGCTTGAARTGGGTTGTTTCTCTTTTGTTCTTTTATAGTCCTGTTTAAGACTATGTTCTACTTTATTTTTTTWAAAAAAAWTTTAGTTATTRATAGACCTTTATTTTATCCATTTATTTATTTGTTTGTTTATTTATATGTGGTGCTGAGAATCGAACCCAGTGCCTCACACATGCCAGGCAAGTGCACTACCGCTGAGTCCCAGCCCCATCCCTAGTTCTAATTTATGTTAATAGTGTATAGATTTTATTATCCCAATTATAGCTTATTTGTGAAAAAACCAAACTTTCTTGCTTAGCTTTGTATCTGTTATCAATGGAATCTTATCTAGTGCCTTTTATGTAATAAGTGCTCAATAAAATATCCAGATGCTTAAGAAAGTGTTTAAATGATTGATGCCAACATAAAGTGTTTTATGATAATCACCTATGACATAATATAACTTTTTATACCACAAAAGTTGTTTAAATGGACTTTAAGATAGAGGACTCCTATAACTAGATGTTTTGATATCTGATGAATGGATATTATAGCCTTGCAACTTATAAAACATAAATAATTTTTGGAGCTCAAAATGCATTCTTTTATATCTATTCATTAAATTCAGACCACATATGAGACAGTTTTGTTGTAATATTCCAAATTTCTGATCCTCTAAGGAATTACTGCTGATCCTTTTGGAAATCTGAATGAARCTATTCTCTCACTACCCAAAACCTAGAAAAATGCCCATGCAAAGATAATTCTGTATACTATTTTAGAGAGTTCACGGACCTCATATTAAGAACTTCTCTTTTAGATTCTGGAGTAGAATGCAACAATCATGACTAGTCAAGAGCAGAGTTTTAGTTCATTTTACTGTTGATAAATGTGGTGCCATTTGGAAGGACATGTAACCACTCCTTGCCTCCTTTTGAGTTAAAGATGGAGTGAATTAGCACATGCAATATACTAAGGATAGTATATTGCTTTGTGCAGAGTATGCTTCCCAGTCTTTAATTCTACTCTTACAAAGGATTTCTGAATTTTTTAATACCTCCTTTTGTCTAGTTATCTTTAAGAAAATTACTTTCTTATTAAAACATGATAACAGTCAGTATTCTGTCATCCTGCAAGGCAAGTTGTGAGCTATGTCCTGAAGTTTGGTTCACACAGCAGTAAATGAGGGACCAAAATCTGCCATCTTATTGCAGTGCTATAATTGAAAATCTGTAGTTAGAGGAAACGTGTGCCTCTCCATTGTAAGAGTAACTGGGGAAAGGGCTCTGAAAAAATATACTTCAAGACATTGARTAGATATACCAGTGTAATGTGATAAAGCAGATGAAGTTTTCTCCATAATTATAGCTGCTAAGAACTTTAGTTTTTTGGAGTGGGGGGTTGGGCATATCATATCTATTATAAATTTTTCTTTTTTAAAATTGTTTTATAAAACAGATTTTATTAATGTGTATGTTAGTAGCAAACAGGTTATGTTAAAAATATGTAACTTTTATATATTATCCAGAGGACAAATAGCTTTTTTTTTTTTTAACTCTAATTAGGGAAGAAGACAAAAACATATTTGATTACTGCAGGGAAAACAACATTGACCATATAACCAAAGCCATCAAATTGAAAAACACGGATGTGAATACGAAAGATGAAGAGGTATGAAAACACCCTCTTTTGGTTTCTGATGAATGGATGCTATAGCCTTGTAAGGTTATAAAACACACTAGTTTAATTTTTTCTTTTGCTTTCTTGTTTTGCCCCAATGCCTTTTTTTCTAAATGATGGGCCTTTGAACTACAACTCAAAAGTACATTATGGTTAAGAGCTTATCAGAATACCTAAATTAGTTGATGTCACCCAGTTAAGATACTTTCTGTGTCTGTAGCCAACATATTTCTATCCACRTAGCTGAAACTTGTCATAAATAACTTCTGTTTGTTTAAGATAAAAGGAGATACTTTTAGCATGGTAAGTAAAATCTATAGATGATAGCACTCTCATTTATAAATGAGAGCTATTTATAAATAACTACAACATCTTCTTTAATTTTACCACAAATGGATATATTGTTCTTTGCTCAATAAATATATTTCTGGTAATCTGTATCAGAATTTTGATAAATCCAATTCTTCAAATGCTGACCCACCAGTTAAAGGGACTCTATGCTAACTTATTTTCAGAATATATTCTTAATTTATTTATTTTATGAAAAAAGCTATTCATATATTGAGCTTAAAAAGGTGGTACTAGTTAGGAAGAGGACATGCAGTGATCGTAGATAATCTGTCAGATATACAAAGAACCAGCCTATTATGGTTAAGAACTCCCTCTATAGGTTAGCCCTTAATAATACCTCATTTTTAGGCAACATATTTACTATAATATATTGTCAAGGGCATTTGTAATTGAAAATGTAAAATTATAATACTAGAGTAAAGGAGGACCAATAATACTATTTGTTCTCCACTATATAATAAAAAGGCATGAAAGATGGCCAGAGAAAAGCAGAAGTCAAATTGTGAAAAAATAATTTCAGGTTTTCTGATTCCAATTAGAATTTGCTTTGTGTGCATGTGGGGGGTGGAGGGCAGTGTTTTTTGCCTTAAAAAAAATAAACCTAATATCATTGCTTTTCTTGATTTTATTATTTTTATTTTAATGTTTGTGCTTTAAGATTTTTACAAAATTAATACATATAGATAGTTTTTAAAAAATTAATAGTACTATTAGTCTTATAACTAAAAAAGCTCTGTGATTCTARCTTCCTTAAGGCAAAAGGTTTCAATTCTTGTAGTGGTTTATTTTGAAATTTGCATGTATAATTCTAAATAATATGCTTTTGTGTCTTGATTTTTCCACTTTAGACATTATCAATTTCTTTCTATTTTATTTTTGGATTAAGTTTTTTAGTCATCTTTCCCTCTATTTTTTCTCTGACCTCTTAAAAAAGTTGTATCACAACTTTTAATTTCAGCTTTCTGATTGCATCTGTATTGAATTCATGTTATTGTGACTGTGTAAATGTTATTCATTGCTAAGCTGTGGACTGTACATGTATATCAGTTTGCATTTGCTACAGCAATAAACAGCCCTCAGTTTTCAGTGGCTTACACCAACAAATATTTATTTCACCCATGTCGCCATCTTATTAGATGAGCGACAACATTTCATATACTCTGATGTACTCTTACTTTAATTCTGCTTTGTTTATCTTACTGATATTTCAAAAGGGTTTGGGATCAGTTGAGACTCTACTGGATTCTGGTAGTCTGGTTTGGGCTCAGTTCATCTTGCTTTCATGTGTCTTCTCAGTCTGAGCTATAACCTTAATGAATACTCACTCTGGGACAGGGACTGAAGGCAGACAGAGCCAGATCCCACAAATGCATTTAAAACTTTGGCTTGGAAGTGACATGTATCTCATCTACTCACATTCCATGCTTGTTAATTTGTTGAATTAATGAATGTTTAAAATAATAAATAGTGTAACAGTGAAGAGCTAGACTGTATGGATCCAAGTCCTAGCAGTGTCACTTTCTGGCTATGTGACCTTTGTCAAGTTTACTTTGTGTCTCAGTTTCCTAAATGTGTAAAATGGAAATAATTGTACATGACTCAGGATTGTTCTGAGAATCAGTAAGTTAATATATCAGGTACTTGACAGATACATAGTAAGCATGCAATAAATTTAGCTTCTTTGAAATTCCTAATATGAGTGAAGAATATAATGAAGAGCCGGGCACAGTAGTGCACACCTATAATCCCATCGGCTCAGGAGGCTGAGACAGGAGGATCATGAGTTCAAAGCCAGCCTCAGCAACTTAGTGAAGTACTGAGCAACTCAGTGAGACCCTGTCTCTAGATAAAATATAAAAAAGGGGCTGAGGATGTGGCTTAGTAGTTAATTGCTCCTGGGCTCAATCCCCAGTACCAAAAAAAAAAAAAAAAAAAAAAAAAAGGGTATAATGAAGAAGTAAATAAAAGAAACCACTTAACTTTCCGGGTCAGTTTTTTTTATTAGTACATATCATGTGTGTATTGTATAATACTTTATAAAGTGTATATAACAGTTTACAGAACACTTTTACTTATTACTGTGTCATGCTCACAATAATCCTCTAAGATAGATATTATGCTCATTTTGCAGACAGGTACTGCCATACTGTCATTCAGAGATGTACATTTACCTTCTCAAACACCTATACCTGCCAAGTGGAAATCTGGTCTGAGAGAGTATTCTTCTCACCACTGGATTTACAAAAAAGAAGGATAATCCATTTTCATTTGACCTGTTTTATTTTATGCTCTGATTTGCAAAAACTTTTTTTTATAAAATAATATTAAAAGTCAACTCCACATGTGACCTCTGCAAAGATTGTTGGATGGATAGCAGTGATTGCAATGAAATAAGTGTCTAGAACACAAATAGCTCACACTAACAGTCCTTTTATGAAAATAAAAGGAAAACTTGGAAAATATATGCCATTGACTACTTTGATGTAGTACTGCTTCCCATCTCTTCCAGTTTGTTGCCCATGCAGCCACCTTTACCCCAGCCTGCCAGAGCATTGTGTTCCCATGAACAGATGAAGTGCTTACACATTCATAGACTGAGACGCCAAGAATTCAGTTGGGTTCTCTCATTGCTCCAAGCAGATTTCTGTCCTCTCAGCCATGACAGCTCGGGCTGAGCTTTGAATACTGATGGCAACTCCTTTTATTATTAATCAGGGATTTGTATGAATTAATTTAAGAACATAAGAGATATGGGAGCTTAAAATTAGACTCAAACTTAACATCCTAAATAAAATAAATAGTGCTGCTTTGTGACATTTAAAGGTCTAACAGATGAAATAATTTGGTAAACCTTGGTGATGGACGCAATGTATGTGACCTCAGAATGAAGTGTCTAGCCAAATACTTTAGTGCCTTATCAGTAGAAAGACATTTTCTTGTTATAAGTCAGAAGACGATTTCAGTTTTGAAAGGACATCCAGTTCTATGTATTTATCTGATGTTTGAACTTGAGATATTTCCCTCCTGATGGCCTGGGGTTCTTTGAATTGATATGTTTTTACATAAAATATTTATCCAGCAGATTCAACAAATTTTACTCTTGCCCTTTCATGACTAAAAGTTAAATTTAATGCTTTTTAAGATGTCTGTGAGCACACAAAGAAATTTATTTGTAGTTATAAAATGATAAGAATGCATTCCCATAGATTGAAATAAGCACAATAAATTATTAAATTATTACAATAAATTTGTAATTTATAAATTATTGTGTTACCTGAAATGCAAGTATTTGGGTCTATTGTAGCTTATGAACAAATATATGTGAACTGCCTTTTAAATAAAATGTCTTGTATTTCATAATAAAATTATTATGTATTAGTTTCTCATGTATACCTTTTATTCATATGAGTTTTAATTGCTATGAATATAGTAAAGGCTATGTTTTCTTTCTTTTGCCGCATTATAGATCAAATCCAGGAAGCACTCTACCACTAAGGTACATCCTCAGCTCAAGACATGTATTTCAAATTAGAAATTTGAGAATTTTACATGTTTCCAAYTGATATAATAAATAAGACGTTGTATATTTTGCATAAGGCCGTGAAGTTTCACAGTTACMCTCTCTATTTGGGAAGTTATTAATATATCAGATGTTTAAGGGTCCAAGTGGTATTCTAAGTACTGACTTTTTATTTACATTACAACTTTTATGATGTTTTTAACCATTTGCAAAATGCTTGGAAATTGAGATAGAGGATATCAAGAGATATTGAGGTAGAAAATATGAAAAGGGCAAAAGAAAATCTTAAAGCTTATTTATTTTTTAAAATCCTGGTTCCATTTTTAACATTAAGCCATATTATTAAGCTCTTCACACATGCCAAGTATTTACAATTCTTCAAAAAAATATTATTTAAAGGGAGAAAGGATGGTAGAAGCAATTTTCAAAGTATGTTTAAGATATGAATAGAATATTTCTTATCAAACATCAAGCATAAATTATGTGTGCATAATTCTTGTCATACACATTATTTTTCAGATCAGTATCATATATGAGAACGAACTATATGCTTATTGATGATATTTAAATAGTATTTTAAACATTTATGGTAATTTTAAGTTGTTTTAGGACAAATGTAACAATGTATCATTTTAGCAAAATAGATGACATTATTCTATCATAAGGTGCCCCCCACAAAAGTATTTATAGTTCATTGTTTTTTTTTTATAGATTCGAATGCACCCCTTTGATTGAGCTAGCTTTTTTCCTTTCTTTCTTTTTTATTTATTTTATTTATTTTTTATTTTTATTTTTATTTTTTGTGTGTGTGTGTGGGGTAATGGAACCCAGGTGTACTCTGCCACCAAACCTCAAACCCAGTCCTTTTTAAATTATTTTTTTGAGGGTGGTAACAGGGATTGACCTCAGGGACACTCAACCACTGAGCCACATCCCCAGCCCTATTTTGTATTTTATTTAGAGACAGGGCCTYACTGAGTTGCTTAGTGCCTCACCATTGCTGAGRCTGGCTTTGAAATCAAGATCCTCCTGTCTCAGCCTCCCAAGCCACAGGTATTACAGGTGTGCCTGGCTYATTTTTGAGACAGAATTTCACCAAGCTGCAGAGGCTGGGCTCAAA